CCCAATTAAAGAACAATTCAGACAAATAAGCTAAAAATAAACAATAGCCTAACCACGGAACCACCAAGACCATGCCACCAACAGTGACAGGGAAAGCCACTAGCATATTAAATGAGATGAATCCTCACTTCGTACTAGTATTGATGAAGTTACCAAGTTTAGTAATGAAGTATTTGTAAGGAAACAACTAAACTGAGAGAGCACCAAACACCCTGTAGAAGAGTTTTTATATTTCAGTGTTATCTGCTTTGGCTTTTAATGTATAATACGCATTTATCATTTTCAACCTATCATAAAACATAGTTAAATACTACGCATGTATGTAAGCTGGGGCTTGGGAATGTGTTCAAAAGTTTGGCCAGCAAATCATAAAATGTATGGCCTATAGTCTTTATTCCCAATTACTGATAATCCAATGATGGAATGCAGAATATATTATTTACTCATCTACAAGGAAGTCCTGAAATGGCTTTCTTTCTGTGTGTGCCTATAAACGTGAATGTGTGTATGTGTTCCATATATGCTACATACACACATACCTATGGAAGCTATTGTCCCAATAATTTAGAAAACATGAAAAACATGATTTGCTTTAAAGCCTTTTTTCTTTTTTTTAGAAAACACAGATTTTCTTTCCATTTTTGCAGGTTTGGGAGATTGGTACAGGTGATGCCAACCCTGGGAAAACTGGACCATTATAAACTGCTGTGTAATAGTAGCGTCTATCTTTGCTTCTTTTTTAACAAGATTAGTCTTGCTTTTCTCCTTTTCTTTATTGGGCTGTCTAGTGGCTACCTCTTTTCTCTTGTGCTAATGTGATTAGCTGGGCAAGGGGACCATATTGGGAGATAGTGTCACAAAGATCTCCTCTTACTTGAGTGCACCTCTTTCCTGAATGCAACATCTTGTGTTGGTCATCACAGGGGGCATTGTTAACCTGACCAACAAACCTCAAACAAAAAGGAGAATTTACAGCTCACTCCTGTCCCTCCAATAAAATCTAATTGAAGGAGACATTTAGGAAAGGAACTAGAGAGAAGACAGATGTGCTTCCTATCCTAAAGGCTGATGGAGTGCTTGCTTGTGCTGTATATGGAAGGGCTCTTTAAGAGGTTTGCCAAATGCTGTTATTGACATTGTTTTAAAAAGTGGCAAAGTCAAATATAGATCAATCAATGCTTATTATTAAAACCATCTTCTTTACCATGTTCTTAAGCATAGCTTCCTATGAAAAAAACCTACTGATTTACAGAACTTTACTTATTAGTAAAAGTGTAATAGAAAACATCCTACTTGATTCTGGTCCATTTTACCTGCGTAAATATGGAAACATTTAAGTTCATTGAAAATGCTGGAATTATTTGTGTAAATTAATAGGAATGACCTTCATCCCAAATTTCTTCAAATGATTAAAAATCCACCCTTTTCTTCCAACATAAAATGATTCTGGTTTTTTTTAAAGGGGGTCACCTCATTTTTGTTTTTTAGCATCACAGATTACTGCACTTAATGCTTTTTTCAATAGTCATAAATGGAAAGAGTCCTCTAGATATGATAAATTATTAGATCAATTGAGGGGAAAGCTGCAATAAAATCAAGACACACACATAAAAGTCAAAATAAATGATTGTCTACTGTATCTCTGTATGACTCTGTAAACAGCTTTACAAATTTGATGTTTCAAAAACATGGTTCCTCACAAATAGATGTTCATGATTTTAATGTGGGACTCAGCATTATGGCGTTGAAAGCTTTTATTAGATTCAGTTCAGGATTATTATTTTTTTAAAGTTTGTAGAAAAGTGCATTTTTGTTTCAATTTCTCCTGATATACAATTCTATGTTCAAGCATTTTCTGTGTATGTATATACATAGGGTACATTCTATCACAGAATATGTTGTTTTCAATAATAAATGTATCTCACTGATTATTTTAATGTGATACACATTTCTGCCAGGATTCTTTTCTACTGGAAGACTGAAGTACAAAATTTCATGCTGTAGCTATAAATCCAGTTCTTTCTTTCATATATTAATAGATATAAAAATAAACATATGTTTTTTTAAAAAAGAGTGAAGCATTTTCTTTTTTAAAATATAAGTTCTTTGGCTTTCTTTTCTTTTCTTTGTCCTGAAAAGTTTCATTACAGCTCTATGTCTCTATGATTTAGGGCAAAAAATGCCCCCCAAAATGCCCCATTTATTACTGGGAGTTCAGAAGAAAAAAAATATTTTATGCTAGTTTGTTTTCTTTGTCAAACACAGTCAATTATGACTAGATAGGGACTACAGATAAGGTGAATTCTATCAAATAATGAACTTTAGAAACAGGGATTTAAAATACTGGCTCAAAATTTATAACTGACTTTGGTATTTTCTTTGTCTGTATTGCTAAGTATTTTGCATTTAATTAAAAAGGGGCTGTTGACAGGTGGAAGGTTTATTAGACACGCAACTATCATAATTGCTTTGATCATGGGAATTAAAAATTTCCCAGTGAATCATTTTAATTGCTAGAATGATGTGTCATTGTTCTTTTTACAGTGTGCTGTGATAGGTATGGGAAAGTTGCCTTGATAAGCCTATTGGTACTAAATAGAACTTAAAAACTAGGGGTATACCCTACCAAACTGCATTTAATGTTTTTAGAGTTACTACAATCAGCTTCCTCGTAGTGCTGACACAGAATCATTTGATCAGGAATTTTGTACTTCTGCCTGTTCACATAGGCTTTTCTTGTTCCCATGAGATGTTGCCAGCCTTGCTCTTAGGTAAAGAATGCGTCATTCATTTTATGTGCAAAGCAGACAAAGCACCTAGTTATTTCATGTATTGATTATTTCCTTGAGGAAAGAAAACATCAAGATTGAAGGATGGTGTTTTCTCTTTAGACAGGAAGAGATAGAACTAAAAAACAGGCAGTCCCTTATGACATGGGAACAAACAGTAGCTTTTGCTTCTTCCACTACGTTAAGACAATGCAGAAAACACAGTTTGCATTATATTTCTATTAAATCTTCCAGAAAGCACTAACAGTATTTTAAGGTCCTGAAAACTTTGTCATAGAGCCTGATGTGGCTGAACCTGTATCATGATTGTGTTGATTAGTTGTTCTTTCTTGGTGCTATATATGTTCATTATAATGTTGTTGTGTGGTTTTATCTTATTTTTAAATATTTTTAGCTGCCCAGAGTAAAAGCATTAGCAGTCATGCATATTGAACAAATATTAACTAAACTATGCAACTTCTGTGGCCTAGCACATGGGTGTCAAACTCACCACGTCAGGTGACGTCACAACATATCACCTTTTTTGCATTGCCAGACCTGGGTTGGGCACAGCCTCCGTATGATGCAACCGGCCTGCGGGCTGGTAGTTTGACACCCCTGGCCTAGCACCTTACAAGGATAGTATATGTTGACGCTGGAGTTATCATTTCCCTCCTATTTCTTCATGTGTCTGTTCATTTATTCCAGAAGATATAAACTGCCATATTTTCTCTGTAAATTTGAGTGACAACAGGGCAACTGGGTACCCCCTACATCACTGTCTGTTGATAATTCTATTAATGAGAAGTTTTAATAGCCTCTTTGAACAATCTACAGGCAATCCAGCTATCCTCTCTGGGGTGAAAATAGGTTTTTGTCATCAAATACACTACAATGCTTTCTAAATATTTTGGGAATAAATACAGATTTTCACTGCTACTACTTCAAAATAATCTTAGAGAATTTAAACTGAAATTATCTTCTCTCTTATCAGCTCTCTTTAGTTCCTTAATTTCATCAACTTTAAGATGTGTAGACTTCAATTCCCACAGTTGGGCAAGGCAGTTAAAAATGTTGCTTCTTCTATTTTCTTAAAAATCTGGCTTTACAATGCCTATATAGGAATGTTTAGAATGCAGTTAAATGTTCCCAGTGCTTTTTTTGTTAAAAAAAAAAAAAGTGCCAGAACTCATACACGTCATACAACCCACCTTGCCTACCCTACAAGGTTCCATCCAAAAAACATTCCGGAACTCCATTCTAGGCGTTCTTTGACAAAAAAAGCCCTGGATGTCCCAATGTGATGTTAAATAAACAGTGGAATCTGTCCTTTAGTGAATGAATTTCAAAGGAAAATTTTATATGAAACATTAACATTTTAATTTTCAGGAAGTTAGACTTTATTCAAAAAGGAAGTTTCCTAACATATCACAATTTTGCTAGTGTGGTAAAATGCAATTCTGCTTATTAATAATAAGCCACATACAAGTTTACTAAATAAATAAATAAAATTTTATATAGACCTTGTGGGCCAAGATGGGCAAGCTTTAATCAAAGTCACAAGCTCACATCTTGCTGCACATTATTTCAATCTGCTTAGTACTGTTGAAGGAACACTGGCAGACAGAAAATAGAATGGAAGGCATATCCACTTTATATTAAAACGTCTCTTAAAATTGTGATTATTTATATATTGCTGTTTAGGAGAATTCTTTCAAAGCATTTTAAGCGTGATCTAAGCCAGACATGTCAAACACAAAGCCCAGGGGCCAGAAGCAACCCGTGAAGTGGTTTCATGTGGCCTATGAAGCCATCCTGGAAACAGTGAGGGAACAGCTCCCACTGCCTTGGCCCTGGCTGGCTGGGAGCCAATGTACAATTTTGTGGTGGCCAACTATGCTGAAACGCATTCAGTCTTAGCCCCACAAGGCCGTCTGGAAACAGCAAGGAACCAGCCCCTGCTATGTTGACCCTGCCCCTGGGCACATGCTGGGGAGGTGCCACCCTTTGTGAGGAATGAAGAAATGGACCATGCCTTGGCACTTGCCCCAGTCTCCCCCCCTTCTGTCAGAGACCCTCAGATCTGTCCCACTGCTACCCAGGCCCCCTTGAAGTGAACGATGTAGAGCTGGCCACCCCCCACTCCATCCCGATAGGCCACACCCACCCTGGCCACACCCACCCAGCCCTCCAAGGGCAACCACAATGCTGATGCGGCCCTCAATGAAATTGAATTTGACACCTCCCATCTAAGCAGTTGGAAACTGAATTGCAATTAAATATTTGAAAGCAAGAAAGCTTCGAAAGGCTGGTGGTAATTATTTTATAAGGGTCAATGAAGAGTCGGGCCAAATACGAGTCCCTGTTTGAGCAGTTTAGAAGAGTTTTAAAAATCCACAGGAGGAAAAAAAAAAAAAAGAGAAGTCAAACTGAACAACCCACGAAACGGCCCAACTTGAGCCAACGCCCCCTTAGGAGAAACAGAAACGTAGCAGCGCGCATGCGCCAGAACGATTTCCCCTCTCTTCACGCAGTCTCCGCGGTAGGACCCGCGTTTTCTTAAGAAGGAGGTTCCTAATTGTTAAGCTTCAGAAAGCGTGAAGCACGAATATAGGAGAGGTGGAGTTACGGCACAATCACATGATTTATGGTCCAAAGATGGCCGGAGAGGACTTCGTTGTCGGGGAGGCCGCTGCCGCCGCCGCTACTACCACGACTCAGTCTCCGAAGCACAAACATTCTCATCTTGGGGGGAGCCGTTTCCGTCCTCAGGAGCAGATATTCATCTGCTCGTTCCCATTTTGCGATGCCACCTTCAACCGGGGCTGGAAACTGGACGCACACCTGTGTCGGCACACGGGACAGGTACGGGAGAATGAAGGGGGGGTGGGGGCTAAAAAGGGTACCTGGCGAGCAGGAGCTAGAGCGGTGATTGGGTTATTGCTCGGAAAACATTTTCCGGGACGACCAACCGTTGGCCCGGAGTGCTGGGCGGAGGGCGGAAACAGAGCCTTGCGGAAGGAGTGCGGCAGTTTCCATTGGAACGTGAGAGGTGGGCGAATGACCAATCAGTAAGAAGTAACTTTGTGATAGAGCGGTATTGAGAAGCACATGCGCGACGGTTACTATGGGAACTGAGGTGTTTGTTGGTTTCTTTGGTTTGGCGTCTGTTTCTCTGGGTTACTCGTACCGCAAATAATTATGAATAGGTGGACCATGACCATCGCCTGACCTCAGTTAGGCTGAAAAATCCGGGTGCTGGTCAAAAATAGAAATTGCCTTTGGGCACGAGGCCAAAGGAATGAAACTTGGACTTAAACATACTGGTATATACCATGAATTAAATTACTGGTATTTCTTTTATTAAATCTCTTCGGCTCCTTACAAAAGTGGGGAGATCCAAATTTCCAAGTACTTAATCTGATGTATTAGTTTTAATTTTACATATTCTGTTCTTAACTAATTGATATTAACGTGGGATAAAAATATAATGAAAACTTGTATACAAATTTTACTGTAGAATGGTGATGGACTATATGCAACTCATTTTACACTGGGTTGACAGTTTTAACTGCTGCTTCTTGGTCCCCAGAATCATTTGAAGAAGCAAATTAACCTACTATCTTCTCCTCAGTGCTAAGTTGTGTATTTTCGACTAGGCATTCAGGTAAATAAAGGTTAGCAGAGAAGATAAAATACTAGTACTAGTTGTTCTCTATTGGGGCATTATGGGTTTAAGCTGGACAACCAAAAAAAAAAGTGGTCCTCTCATCAGGACCTATTAGGAAACAAAGTACCCTAAGTCAGGATTTTAATCACTGTCAAGTATCCTTAATGTGTGTTACTCTGTTATCCTTTTGTTTTAAAAACATTGTTTTTTCATATAAATTATGGATCAATTTTGATGGCTGAAAATGAATTATGGGAATGTTTGAGTAACTGGAAGGTTTGCTGCTTGTTCATTGTGAATCAGGTCTGTGAATTGACCAAGTTCCTGTTAAGACCGGATTGACAAAATGAGAAATTTCTAATATAACTCTGAGAAAATAATAGTTGCTCATCACCAACAGAAAAGGAAGTAGAAAAAAATGGACATGAATGGGAGCTGAGAAAGCAAGTAGACATTTAAAAAGAGAATTAAAACATTTTTAAAATCTTTTTTTTATTTTAATTTTATTTTATTTTTAATTTTACCAGCGACCCTTTGTTTGCATTTTTGAAGGCTGTGGAAAAGGCTTCACTAGAGGTTTCCACCTTAAGCGTCATTTTCTTACACACACTGGAGAAAAACAATTTGTGTAAGTATATTATCATTTGGGCAACAAAAGTCCTAAACAATTCTGACACTAGTTTGTATAGTTCTAGAATTTAGTGAATTATTCATATATCTCAGTGTTATCAAGGTAACAATAGTAATAATTGTGTAAAATAACTAGATTGCAAGGTTTTTTATTGACTGAAAGTATATTAGTATGTTATGTTGTACTGCTGACAACATAAAAAATAATATTTTATTTAGGTAGATGTTGATAGATAGTTTATGTATTTAGAATGATGTAGTTTACATGTTAAACATAAGTCTAAGCTTATCGGCTTAAACCAGTGTGTATATTTTTAGCAAGTTACTTAAAATCAGATATTTGTTTTAGATACATCTACTACAATGTATTCATTTTTGTTTGATTATACTTTAATATTTGTATAGATGCACAGTAGATGGTTGCAATAAAAAGTTTATAACAAAATCAAATTTGAACAAGCATGTTCTACGGAGACATCATCAGAGAAAATATGTAGTAAGTGCCTCTATTTCTTTGCTACTTCATTCCAGACATTAGGAAATAGTTCTTGAAATTTGTGTAATTTAGTGAAGTCAACTGAACTCTGGCATTCCTAATGGCATCCTAATGTGTTAGACTTGTTGCCATAATCTTTAACCAGATTGATTAAGGGCCAGGTTGATGGTATATTGAAGTCTCCAACATCTGTTGGAAGTCTCCAGCATCTGGAAAGCATAATGCTTTGGTAACTGTTGGCTATTTCACCTATACTAACCATGGTTGAAGTTCTACATCAGTGTTTCCCAAACTTGACAATTTTAAGGCATGAGGACTTCAACTCCCAGAATTCCACAGCCAGCGTTGCTGGCTGTGGAATTCTGGGAGTTGAAGTCCTCATGCCTTAAAATTGTCAAGTTTGGGAAACACTGTAATCTACATCATAAGCCTTAATCAATTGGTTTAGAAAGTTTTGTGAACTTAGTTTATCTTGCATGCTTAGGTTGTAGATCAGTAAGCCTATCCCACTCCTCCTGCTCTCCTTTGCAGTAACAGAAGATGGTGTACAATCCTTATAGATTGCAGTTTGTTAAATATGATAAGAGACAAGGGATTTTTTTTTCTTGCCATAGTGGGCAGGTTACATTCTGAAAGAGGTTTGTTTATGCAAATTAATTGCAGCCTTGGTGCACTCTCTAAACTACATTGGATTAATTACTGATAATTTGGAGTCCTTTTTGCTAATTTGTACAATTATATAGTAAGCCTTTTGATAAATGATAAAGTATATCATAATTTATGAGTTTATTGTGAGTTTCTCTGACTGTAATCAAATTGATTTTCCAAACAGTGTGACTTTGAAAATTGTGGGCAATCTTTTAAAAAGCACCAGCAGTTAAAAATACATCAGTCTCAACACACTGGTGAACCATTTTTCAAGTAAGTGAAACATTTTGACACTTTGCCTATTTAGTTAAAATCTGAGAATGAATTTTATTAATAACTTTAAGGATACCTGCAAGTAGGAATTAGAAATTGTTACAATAAGGAAGATATTATTAAAGGTCTTCAGATAGGGTTGGCATATAATATGTGACAGGAAATATTAAGCTCACTGCTCATTCCTCTCTCTGATCTGGTGAACATTATACTTTTAACATTTTAGTATGAAAATTGGTACCTCATATAAAAACAGTATACATTCATATTCTGAAGTACTTTTTCTGAGAAAATACTTGTTCAATTACAAGTACCAGTTTTCACACTTGTTATTTTCTGTCCCCTCTTCTTCGATTGTTTAAATTGACCTGAGTTTTGTACTTTCCAACCACAGTATCTGACTAAGCACCTCAGAAATTTCCAGTTTTAACTTTGGCTTGTGTTTATTATTTATTTAGTAGACAATGTCTGTTAAATTTACTTAATGTAGTTTTACATCAAAATACATAAAACTAAACATAATCTGTGAATTTAAGGGGATATATATGTAGCATTTCCTCAGTCATATTTTTGCCTTCCTGATCTGAACACAGAGAAGCTTTTCTGAATGTTTTTACTGAAAGGTGATGTTACACAATGAAGAACTGAAGGAAAAAAATTGCTTTCAGTCGCAAGAGAGTTTATACCTCACAGTTTATAAGCAGTGATCTCTATTTCCATTTTGAGCGACTGTGTTTGTTGTCCCACAGATGTGGTCATGAAGAATGTGGAAAGCGCTTTTCTTCACCCAGCCATTTAAAACGTCATGAGAAGATTCATCAAGGTAATTATTCCTTTGTTTCAGTAATGCTAAAAGAGTAAGAATTGGGATAATGTAGTTGTTTTAACCATGATTAGTTGAATAAGCTACACTAAAGGAATTCACACAAGAGTCGGAAACAAACAACATATTATATAAATTAGACAAGGTGCAATGAGTTGAGGTGCAATGCAAATAAAAAGTGTAGATCAAATGAGAGAAATCTGAAATAAAGTAGTTTTTTAAAAATAGTAAATAAGCATAGAAAGTGCAGATGTTGGCTATAAAATCCTAAGTTGAGGCCATGTGATGTCTCACTTAATAGCCTGCAGTGATTTGCTTAACAGCGGAATGGGAAATGATGTATAAGTCTGTCACAATCATGTAATGTTTCACTTACTAACTTTGCTGGTACCAATTGTAATCACTAAGGAATGTCTACATCTGTAAAGGAATTGCAAAGATATGGCACCATCTTTTTGAATTCTCTTTTTGAAAGTCTCTTTAGAGTGGCTCTCTTATTGGGAAGTTTGTCTTAAAAGTAACATGTTTTAGAAAGTTCATCCACTTGATTAATGATAGTTGCCGAGTCTGTGTTGCCTTGTTTAATGCTCATTTATACCCCATATGTTCATTGTTTTTAACCCTAGCTCATAGTAAGCAGCTGTACTTGCACTTGCTATACTAAGATTCTGCAAGTGAGTCAGTTTTTTTTACTCCCCTTTGCACAGCTGGAGAATAAGAGCTTGCTGTCGTAACTCCCAGTTTCTTTTACTATGGCTGTGCAAATGAAATGTGAGGATTTGCAGTTCAGTGACATCTAAACAATTATATTTCTTCTGCCCTGCCCCGTTATAAGCAGAAGGCACTATGCAAAATAAGGAGCAAGGCCCTAGACCAGGGGTGTCAAACTCACAATGTCACGTGATGTATCGCAATATGTCGCGACGTATCGTGACCTTTTCCCCATTACCAGAGCTGGGGTGGGCACGGTTTCGGCATGACGCATCGGTTTGACACCCCTGCCCTAGACTGTGAGTTCAAGTCTTGCCTTAGTCCTGAAAGCCAGCTGTGTCACCTTGGGCCAGTCACTCTCTCAGCCCAAACCAGCTCCCAGGGTGGTGGTTGTGGGGAAAATAGGAGAAAGATTTGTTTAATATGTTCACTGCCTTGAATTATTTGTAAAAATAATAACGATGTAAAATATGCATTTATTTTTTTGAAGCCAGTTAACATCAGTTTTTGTTATAGGTTATGCATGCAAAAAAGAGAGTTGTTTGTTTGTTGGAAAAACCTGGTCAGAATACCTGAAACACATGAGACTCAGTCATGTGGGTAAGTTTTAAAGTTGCTGTAGAGTTACTTTCATAATTGAGGCAGCATACATTGATTGATAAACATATCTTAAAAGTTATGCAGTAATCCTGTTATTTAAAAAGAAGCTAATTCATGTTAGAGCTCCATTGAATATTTCTTCTGCTACAAGTAGAGCTGGACTTACGACCAACATTTTTGTTGCTAAGCAAGACAGTTGTTAAGTGAGTTTTGCCCCATGTTACAATCTTTCTTGCCACAATTGTGAAATGAATCAGTTGCAGATGCTAAATTAGTAACATGGTTAAGTGAAACTGGCTTGCCCATTGACTTTGCTTGTCAGAAGGTCGCAAAAGGTGATCACCTGACCCTGGGTCATTGCAACTATGATAAATACATGCCAGTTGCCAAGCATCCAAATTTTGATCACATGACCATTGAAATCCTACAATAGTTGTGTGAAAAACTGTCAAAAGTCACTTTTTTTAGTGCCGTTGTAATTTTGAATTGTCACTAAATTTGAATTGTCACTAAAGTTGACGACTACCTGTGCTCTATTTCCATCTTTATGAATAAAATAAAGATTTTCCATAAATAGAATATATCAATTGTTGATTCACAGCTTCTCACAAATACGTGTGATGAATATGTAGATACTTACAATAGAAGTGCAAGAATAAGACATGCTTATAGGACACACAGAAGGTTCAGTGGGTCCACTGTCCTGTTTTCCAGCTGTGACTAGCTAGATAAGTTTGAAAAGTCCACAAGAAGCATGTGATGTAATCAGACTCATCTGTTTCTATGGATTGGTATTCAGAAATGTGTCTGATCCTCAAGTAACATATAAACATAGCAGCTGTACTCCTATTCAGATGCTCTATAAATGGTTTGATTTGTTCTTAAATTTGAAGCGTTGCCTATCATGTATATATGTATCATTTGTTCTTTAGAACTGGACAACTAATAAATTCAAATAAAGTAACCACTTAAACCAGGAATGCCCAGCTTTTTGGCTTGCCACTTGGACCATACATAAGATATATAATATAGTTAATGTATATGAATACACATAATATTAAGTTTATAGTCTTGTGGGCCTGCATTACCGCTGTCCAAGATCACATGTGGCTGTTGGCTGCTGGTTGGACACTCCTGATTTAAATCAAATTCTCTTCTCCTGAAATTGTATCACAGCTATGCAATCCAGGAAAAAAAAAAGTTGCTTAGAGAAATTATGAGAGCATTTCTCAAATTCAAAGTATCTTTCCTTTCTGAACCTGAATGCTGCACAACTATTATTTAATATAGTGGTCAAAGTAATGCACTGATAGTAACATTGTTCTTTGGGAAGAAATTTAAAGAATTATGCTTAGGACTCTGCTTCTGCCTCTTGTTTTTCCTTTTCCACTAGAACCAGTTACCTGTCAAGTGTGTTCCAAAACATTGACTCGCAAAGATTATCTGAAATGTCACATGAAAACACATGCCGTTGACAGAGAAGTTTTTAAATGTCCAAAGGAGGGCTGTAAAAGAACATACACAACTGTGTTCAACCTTCAAAGTCATATTCACTCATTTCATGAGGCAAGAAAACCTTTTATGTGTGACCACCCTGGCTGCGGGAAGATTTTTGCAATGAAAGTAGGCATTTTAAACACTATTACTTGATAAATATTGTTCATCTTCTATTTCAGGTCATAAAAATATTTTTATTCTTTACAGCAAAGCCTCATAAGGCACATGGTACTACACGATCCTAATAAGAAAAGGTTGGACAAAAAAGTAAGTCACATTCTTAACTAGTAGGAGCTTAGAAAAACGGAACAAATATATAATTTTGAACATGAAACACACTGCATTCCAGAAGTTCTCCTGAACTTCTCTGAATAAGTCATGGTTTGGTCAAAACAAAATCCAGAACATTTTTGTACTTCTGGGCTCAGCTAAACAAAATATAGATTTTCTTGTTCTTAAGTCTGAACAAAGCTTACAGAGATCCTGAAATGATTTTATGGCAAGTAGGTCAGGCTTCATCAGCCCATTGTGCCCTCTCTACCCTTTTCTCAATATGATATGTCCCAATAGCCCAAATACTTCCATGATCTTCCTAGCTCCTCCTTTATTTCCTTCACCAATGTCTTTGGCTGTTTCCAATCATTATTTCTCCAAAATATTTTTGCATGTAAAAGCTGTGTTTCAGTCCATATCTGGAATAATTCAACTTTGGTCCAGATCTGGACCCAATGTACTAGTTCTGATTGGATCAATCTATCTGAAATTATCTGCTCTGATACAAATCTTTTGCAACTGTATAATAACTAGTAAGATTCTCTTGTGGAAGGGTTGTACAGGCAATTCTTATTCATGATAGTCATGTTCTCTAAAATTGCCCCGACTACTGAATTAATGAATGCTCAAACCTCAGCTGGGATGTGTATGTTGGATGATTCCAATATTTTGTCCCTCTGCATGTCTGAAAATAAATGGAAGAGCACTGTGTATTGGTTTTGAGTTACAAAAGCATTTTCCCAAACAAGTGAATTCACATATGCAGAATATACAAATAAAGAGAATTGCCTGTACAAACTTCAGTAGAGTTTATGCAAAGTGGTTCAGTTTAATCATGATGATTCAAGTCATCAAGAAAAGAGACTGGTCTCATTTAAGCTTTCATGAAGATTTTCTTAAAGCTTATGCAGTCTTGACCTTTCAATTGTTGATGATAATTAGAAGATTATTTGCTATTGACAAGGGGGTGTGTGTAGGGGGGAGATTAAAGGGCAAAATGGGAATTTTAAGCATTGCAGAGGCTTAAAGTATTTGACCCGTTTTCTAGTGGGAAAAATAGGGCTGAGTTTGGAAGGTTTTCAGAGTTTTTAGGAATAGATACCTTAATCCTCTGTAAGACTTAAGAGTCCCACCTTGTTTTCACCTACTCCAAAAAACCCTCTGAAACCTCTCCCCATACAGTCTGGAAGCAGTAAATAGTGTCTGGGATGGCTGGGACAGGAGGGGGGGGGCTAACTTGACATATTTATAGCACTCTGATCAGTTTATAGAATCAGTATATTGTCCCCAACAATCTGGATCCTCATTTTACCAACTTCAGAAGCATGGAAGGCTGTGTCTGTCGTTAAAATACTTATAGGCATCAGCCTTCCCAGATCTTCAGAATAGTGCCACTCTTAAGTCTGTTATCTGCTATCAATGTAACCACATTGGGAATTTTTGCCATTATTCCAAGATATCCTGAGGGCATTAAATGTAGGGTCTTTTGTATCCCAGCCTTTCAATCTCTACCTGAGATTAAGTAGAGAAAGATAGAATCTTTTGCTCAGCTTTGGTGATTTTCCTGGGTTGCTTCTTCCTGCTTTAGTTAGCCTTTTCCCTCCTTCCAAATTTCCCTCCCTCCTTCCAAATTGATTTAAAGTTCCCTTAATTCTGTTCTGATATTCCAAAACCCAGTTGACAAAACTGGAAGTCACAATTTTATTCTTAACTGTTCTCAGTTTTTAATGACAAAAAAAGGATATTCCATTACAGTTCTTTCTTTTGGACCTTGCTTCCTCAGAAACCACAGCAAAAGCGGAGCCTGGCCTCTCACCTCAGTGGATATATCCCTCCAAAAGTAGAGCGAAGAAATTTATCTTCAGTGGAAGAATCTGTACCCGCATCTGTAGCAAGCTGCAAACAGCAGGCTGCTGATGGCTGAAATGCTATTCGTTGACAACAGTTTTAAATGTACCTAACAGTCATCATGAGACATGCCCACAGGAAATGGCTTTGAGAAGGTGGTCATTGCCAAGTTTATAGAATTGGTACAGAAGGCCAATCTATATTGGTACAGGAACGACAAAATGACTTATATTCTTTTTCCGTTCCATTTGTAGGAGAAAAAACGATCACTGCTTGGTTACATCTGAGTCCATAACGTTGCTTCCATTCTTCTGAATGTCTTCATTCTTCTGAATGTTTTTCACAAGATTTAATTTCTGGATCTCTTTCTTTGATAAATGTCTCAATATACAAGTACTCCTTCCTTCTGCAGCAATAGAGGGCATGGAGTGATACGTGGCTTTCTCACGCATCGTATCCAAAATCTTATCAAAAAATGTTAACTGAAAATAAGACGAATTGGCTTAATGAACAGTTTGAATATTTTTTGCATCAATTAAGGGATGTTGTTACATACAAGTCACTCTATTTTATACAAATAAAATACCCCAATGATCCTGAAACTGGCAAACCAAAATTCAAAGAGTTTATAAATACTGGTTTGCAGATGAAAGTTGTATTCCTAGCTTTCTGAAAATGTACAGCTGGTACTGCTCCCAACTTTACTCTCTGTGAAGCTCGCTACAACTTACAATTTCTAAGTCAAGCACCCAAGAGTGTTGATTTTAAACTAATATATACTTTCTGGTTTTAATGATGCTTCCTTCAAGTAACGTAATTCCAATTATGTAGCAATAAATGGGAAAGGATATTATTTCACTGACAAATGTAGCAGTAGGCAGTGCAAAGCAAATAAACTTTTACTCTTTTGACCCAGATGAAACCACTTCCTGGCAATCCTTACCCTTCAGACCGAGAGCCTAAAGCCCCCCCTTGGTGATGCTGAATTACAAGCAGCCCAGCCTCCATTACAATAGTGAAAGATGCTGGGAAGTGAAACGCTATTTTTTTTTTTTCCATTTGGCAGGAAAAAGTGATTTTAGAAACCAACTTAGAATACTATGATCTCTGCCAAAAGATCATACCTCAAAATGTTCCAATAAGCTTACCATCTTTTCAGGTCCATCTGAAATAGATTTTTGATGCAGCATAATTTTCACATGGTACTTCTTGTCAATCCATTCTTGAATTTGTTTTACTTTTGTACTGAAATCGTGTTGCTCTGTAACTGTGGACATTTTAATGATCTTCTGTTGAACAGGCCCTGTTAAAATAAGACCATGAGTTAAACTACTTCCTTTCAATTTGTTAATAGGATATAGTTCACTTCAGTTAAAAAATAAAAACAAACACATACACAAACATACACACACACCCCAGTCTTGTCCAATTTAATGAGGACATGCCCTTGTCCTATGTGGAAATCAAATAAAATGAAATATGGCCTTACAAAACTCGGCCCACCCCTGGTTTAATGTATTATGCAAGCCAGGCTACCATGGCTAAATTAACCAAAGCTTATAATAAACTGAGACTTGGCATAACATCTGAATTGCCATATCTTTCACAGAAATTATGCATACCTGCTTTGGGGCTGGCTTTCTCATCTCTAATTTTGAGGCGCTCTTCATAAATTTGTTTTCCTGTCATTAGTCTATACTTGGGTGGATCTGTTTTCTCAGACAACAGGACAAGATTCATCCCTCTTTCATCCATGATGCGAAGTACATTTGCCCTATGCATTTCTCCCATGTCTTCGCCATTCTCATCAATTAGTTGTATCTTGTTGTGTGGGATTCTCCTCCCCACACTTTCAAATATTTCTCTGGCATTTTTCTTTTTTGTTTTCTCTTCAATGACTTTTGTACAGAATGCTCGACTGTAAGAGCCTTTCTTATCGTGTACTGCTTTTAGCCAAACCTGAGCTACTGCTGTATGTTTCTCTGGCTGCATTGTGAAGCTGGCAATATACCGAGTTATGGAATTCACTTCTTTCCTTCCAGCCAGATCCATTAATTTCTTCAGGTATAAAGACGTCATTCTAGGATGGGAGCAGAAAATAAAACATATAACCATACAATCAAAATTTATTATTTTTAAGTTCATTGTCAAGTTACCTTTTTAATTTAAAAATATCATGTAAAGTTGCAGTGTTTGAAATTTAATTTTAAAAAGTTTCCAAACTTCTAAAAACATGTTTTTAAGACCCCTTGACAAAGAAAATATTAAACTGTTAAATGCTGAAAAACATTTAGTATAGTTCATTTTTATTGAGTATTTCAATAAAGTGTACCTATACGCAAAATATTAAAAATGCAACACAGAGATATAAGAATTGTGTGTATAAAATACTTACAACCCATATGACAATAAGGCTATCTATGTACTGACACCATTTTAAATTTAAACAGCATGTTAAGCTATGGTTGCTTAATACTGGGTTATTGAATAAACTGCTAGTCTAAATTTTAAGCTTATAAGCTATGGCTTAATTAATAAATGAGATCAAAAATAAGGAAATCATTTAAGCTTAGCCTGATCTAACTCAGGGTCCCTAACCCCCAAGCCGTAGCCCACTACTGGACAGTGAACCATTCAAAACTGGTTCAATAGTGGCTATATAACGATCCAAAAATTGCAGCCTTATAAGAAACGTACATTATGTAAGTTTTGTGCATGTATCGCCTGTGAAGTTAGAGCAGTCTTTGTTTAACCAGATGTCCCAATATGTTGAACTCCTGTAATTTCTTTAAAATATGCTTAAAGGAATACTTCTGTGAGAAATTTCTGTTCAACCTTTCAGGAACATCTCAATGAGGTATTTTCTTGTCAAAACCTGTTTTCAGTAATGATTAGAGCAGGCCATAGAGCATGTTAAAAACAATTCACAGATCTCTGAAGAAGAAGCAAAACTAGTGATAGAAAATTGCATGAATACGAATAAACTTTTAAAAAGCTTTTTGGTTTTATTCTGTCATAGAATTCCTTGCAGAATCCTTGGATTCTGCTGGATGCAGTTTAAGAAAACCATGATCCAGAGCAGGGGTGTCAAGCTGTCGGCCCATGGGCCAGATGCATCATAGCAAAACCGCACCCACCCCATTGCCAGCAATGGCAAAGAAGTCGCAATACGTTGCAACTTTACGTGATGTTGCGAGTTTGACACCCCTGATCCAGAGTCATTTTATTCCTAAATTTAAACTACAAGACTGTAGCAATAAATGTATTTTTATCATCTCATTAGTATTGGGGCGGTGACTTCCAAATTTATGTTCTCCATAAGTGAAGCAGTGACAAAAGAATCTCTGAGGATAAAGGTATTCACATACTACCTTTATACAATTAATTTTTCTAAGTGCACTATGGGGTTGAAAAGGTTTCAGGTTTTGAAACGCATTGCCAAACAAAAAGGGACAGGAGACAGTTTGTGCAACAGAAAACGTGGATTTAGTAAAGACCAGCTGTAGGCCTGCAACTGGCTAGTTGTTTCTGAGGCACCTGGGATTCCATTCGTCCAAGCCAAAACTATGGGGTTGTTGCGATCATAGCTTCTGCACCTTGCACTTCAAGCGTTAACTCTCTTGGTGGCAAAACCTATTACTCCCTGCAGAAGATCCCTGGTTCAAAGCCTTAACTTGCCCGGGACGGGCTAAAACAACCCTAACTTGGCGATTTTATGTTATGTGGACTTCAACTCTTAGACATCTTACACATCCACACTCTTTAAAGGCTGAGAAGTTAGGTTACAGTGCAGTAGGCAAATGCAGGCACGAAGGTCACTTGAACCGTTAATGCGAAGACAGCCAGGGTCCATCCCAAGCTAGGCGATCCAGGATGGCTCTTTCCTAACTCCTTTCATAGAAATAACTCCATTTGGGGCTTCTTTAAAAAGAAAACAAATTCTGCAAATGTAGGTGCTAGGAATACCCTTCCAGGGTTCCCTGCCTCGCCCGGGGAATCACTGCAAGGTAAATTCTCACCTGATGCGGAAGCCACACTGCAGCAACGAGAAGGAAGGGGCGGAGATGCCAGAGAGGAAGAGGAGGAGCTAAGGGGCGGGGTTAAAACCACCCGAGGCGCTTTCTGCAGAGAGTCTCAGACGTGTGCGTTTGTGGTTGGACAAAAGTAGTTTTTGCAAGGCAGCTGAATCTTTTTTGTGTTTTGCTTGAAAGCGTTTCGCTTCTCATCCAAGAAGTTTCCTCAGTTCTGGATGAGAAGCGAGACCTTTTCACGCAAAAGCATCTTCGGGGCTTCCTGGGCGCTCTTCTTTTGGCGCTTTTGGTTCCTTGGAACTGTCTCCTCGGAGATCTCACGTCAATGGGGGGGGGGAGCTGCTTCCTTGCGCATGCGCGCTGCTCTTTTGTCGACGCACTTGTGCTGGGTCGGTTGTTTCCCCAGCAAGCGGCTGGAGCTGACAGGTGCGAGCTTGCGTGTCGCTCCGACTCCTTATTCATGGGGGTTGGGTGTCCACCTTTCCTGTCCGGCAGACAGTGGAACAGAGGTGGAAGGGCGTGTTCCACATCTGGGGAGGAACGCAGAGTCTTGTGGGAGTGAGCAGCCGCCCGCTCTCTCGCCAGCCCTCTGGCTTTGGCGGGGCGGACGAGGGGGACCCGCACGGAGGAAGGGGACAAGCGAACCGTTCGGGCGTTATCTTTGTTTTGGCAGGGGTCCGTTCTCCGAGCTTGCTGTTTAGAATGGGCCCCTGCCAAAAGCTGCAATCCAAGCTAGAATATTCTCCGCAATCTCCTGCTCGCGGTTTAAGCGGAGAAGGAAGTTAAGGAAATTTGGGTGAGCTAACAAGCAGTTAGGACTGGCGATTGATCTTTGCAACCGCCGTTTGCCTTGCCTCGCAAAAGAGCCAGTGATCGCTGTCTAGAGTCCTCCTCCATCTTTGCCGCTGCTTCGTTGCAAAAGTTCACCCGATCCCACTGTCCCCTTCTTCGCTTGTGTTCACTACTTCAGGAAGCAAGCAATTGCAAACCAGTCCCGAAGTCTTGCCAAGAAAACTGCAGGGATTTTTCCAGGCATTCGCCAAGAATCAAAACTGACTGGAATCCCTTCCTCTTCGCCCCAAATGATAAACCATGGATTAAAAGCCACCCGCTCATGAAACCCACTAAATTCAAGTAAATCACATTATGGGTTAAAATGTTATGCAGGAAATACGACTTGCTTATTCGAGGCTTGGCATATTCTGTGATTCCAGCCCTTTTTCTTCTGCTAGAGCAGCGTTTCTCCTTAGCAATTTTAAGATGTGTGGATTTCAACTTGGCTAAGAATGATGTGCTAAACAAAAAAGCAAAAATGGACAATTAAGTTAAATTTAATCTAAAGTTAACTAAAAGTATAATGTATTACCTGTATTTAACATTTTCCTTTTCTGTCACATTAAAAATTATATAGTGCAGCTTAATTTAGAGAAAGAAGAATTAAGTATGCCTGTTGGAGATTAAACCTCTCTCAGGTCAGATATGCTAGAACGGGTCCCCAACCCCCAGTTTCTGGACTGGTAGCGGGCCGCGCCATGCCAGCGTCTGCACAAACAAGCAAAGCCCCATCCACGGGATGCAGGCAGTACACAAAACCACGCACTCTCTGGTGGAAAGAGATGGAACTGGTCCCTGGTGCCCAAAAAATTGAGGACCTCTGTGCTAGAATATAGTTCCTGTGATCCCCAGTCAGCATAAAAATACGGCATTTTTCACTGTCTTGATGGCCATCCTACACAACTAGAATAAAATAACTGTTTTGTGTAATGCTGCAGAGGGCACTGCTGCCTTTGTCTTGAGAAGAAACTGCTGCAGAAGTTTAGAAGCTTCAGCTAGGACCTTCATTCAGATATGTTTATGGGAATATACCATGTGAATGGAGATGTTGTGGGAGGTGTATTATTTCATAGCTTTCTCTTATGGTGCATTTTATCCTCTTGATTATTTGCTGCTTTAGACATTGTGCAGAAAGCAGGATGTAGATTGCAAAATTTAGCACTTTGAATTGGATTGGAAAAGGAGGAGAGCACACCAGAATTGGTGGGTTCTCTGTTAGCTCTACGATATCTGGCTGCAGAAAAATGAACCGTTACTACATGCTGTCTTTGCTGGCATCTACACGTCATTAGGAATTTTGTAGCTTAGTTGTTATTTGCTTATCTTTTTTTAAAATGTTTTTTAAAATATATATTTTATTATTTTTTTTAACATAATCATCTTGATATTTGGTAAACAGCGTGTTGTCTGGGTTTATATTTACAAACAGTAGCAATTAGTTTCTATAATTCCGTAATCCACATAGTTGCTTTCCTTGATTTTCTCTTCTTCCAATAATATTCTCATTTATCAACCTTAAATTAGTCCATTTCTTAGTATTTTGATAGATAACAATTGAAATAAACATTTTCCTAGTATTTTTTTATTAAAAGTTTTTGCAATTTTACAATAAAATCCCCCTCCCACTACCTCCCTGCCCTCCCAAAAAAACCCTCCCCCCCTCTTCCCAGAGCTGAATACAGGGTTAACTAGAACTAAGAATACAAAACATTTAAACTTAAGTAAACCTCAAACAAAAGTTACATTAAAAAAAATCCAATATATATATATATATAATAAAAAGTCCAATATATATATATGTATATATAATAAAAAATACTTATTATCTTAAACTTTAAACTTTAAACATAAATTATTCAAAAGCTAAATAATATCTTTTAATGTCATACTTATACTGTATAAAGTTTATCCATCTTTTCCACACCAAGAGATATTTCTCTTGCGATTGATCTTTCAAATAAGCCGAAATTTTTGCCATTTCAGATAAATAAGAAACTTTAAAAAACCATTCCTCCAAAGTAGGCAAAAATTCCTTCTTCCAATATTGTCCTATCAACAACCTTGCCGCTGTAATTAAATTTAACATTAAAATAATTTCTTTATCATCACAATCAACAATAATACCTAACAAAAACAATTGTGGAGTGAATTTTATCCTTCTCTTAAAATTTTTTTGAATATTCCACCATATCTTTATCCAAAAAGCTTTTTTGCTTTTACATGACCACCAAATATGATAATACGTTGCATCCAAACAACCACATCTCCAACATTTAGGTTGCAAATTTGAATACATACGAGACATCTTTTGTGGATCAAGGTGCCATCTATAAAACATTTTATAAAAATTTTCCCGTAAATTTTGAGCTTGCATGAATTTAACATTCCTCACCCAAATTATCTCCCATGTTTCTAATAAAACCGGCTCATCAAAATTTTGAGCCCATTTAACCATGCAATCTTTAACTAATTCTGTTTCTGAATCCAATTCCACTAATACATCATAACAGAACGACAATCAATTTTTTCCTTCAGCTCGGCAAACTTGCAAGCAATATGAGCAGTATGACAATCCAGAACAGGGGCATAGCCAGCATTGATTTGGCCTGGATGGTTCAGGATGATAACCTGTGCTGTGAATCCAGCAGCTTCCATTGGTGGATCATTTTTGCTATCTCCAGCAACATTACCACGACGGACATCTTTTACAGATACATTCTTTACATTGAAGCCAACATTGTCACCAGGCAGAGCTTCACTTAGGGCCTCATGATGCATCTCAACAGATTTTACTTCAGTTGTAACATTAACTGGAGCAAATGTTACCACCATGCCTGGTTTTAGAATGCCAGTTTCCACACGACCGACTGGAACAGTACCAATCCCACCAATTTTGTAGACATCCTGAAGTGGCAGGTGTAGAGGTTTGTCAGTTGGACGAGTTGGTGGCAAGATAGAGTCCAGAGCTTCCAGCAGTGTAGTTCCACTAGCACTACCATCTTTACGAGTCACCTTCCACCCTTTGAACCAGGGTATATTAGAGCTAGGTTCCAACATGTTATCTCCATTCCAGCCTGAAATTGGCACAAAGGCCACTGTATCTGGATTGTAGCCGATTTTCTTTATGTACGTGCTGACTTCTTTGACAATTTCCTCATATCTCTTCTGGCTGTAAGGTGGCGACATTTTCCTAGTATTCTACAAGTAACAACTGCATCAGTGTGAAGCTTCTTTTCTAATTAATCATCTTAATCACCTTATCATAGATCCTGTTTTTAAAGTTCGTATTTAAATTTATTTTCCCCTCAATGTTCAAAAACATTTGTACCTGCTAAGATTTTCTTAGAGTTAATTACACTTAACTATTTAAGTCTTTTTCCTCATATAAGCCATCCCAACAATTTTACATTTCTCATATCTTAAAACAAAAACAAAAAGAGAAGAAAAAAATGAATGAAATAATATACTACTTGAAAAATATGTCCCTCTTAAGCTAAGATACATTTTATGTTCAAAAAAAATTTCTATTCTTTTTAACCATATTCAAACAAATATTTAATCTTTAACTGTTAATAATAGAATCTTAGAATTAATTCTTAGAGGTCACCTAGTCCAACCTCCTACACACCCCAGGATCTACAGCTAAAGCACTTTGGACAGATGGCTGTCCAGCTTCTGAAGACCTTTAATGAAAGGGATTGGATGACTTCAAGAAGCAACCTTTGCCACTGGTTGACAGGTCTTACTGTTAGAAAATTCCTCATAATACTGTAGCCAAATTTATTTCTCCATAGTTTCAACCTATTAGTTCTGACCTTTAATGCAACAGAGAACAAGTTCACTCTCCCTCTTATTTGACAACCTTTTAAATATCTGAAGGCTGCTATATCTTCTAAATCTTGTCTTTTTCAGGCTAAACATACTGCGTTATTTTAACCATTCCTCATGGGACTTCCAGAAATATTTGCATTACTATATTCTGGATCAGTTGTAGCTTCTGAGTGGCTTTCAAGGGCAATCCTATGTAGAATTCATTGCCATTGTCCAAACAAAAGGTGACTAAGGCACAAGTGACTGTGATATTGGTCTCTCTATTCAGGAAAGGGTACAGTTGGCACACAAATCTGTCTAAAAACCCTGCCAGTTACAGCAGCCCTGTTTTTGTTTTTTGTTTACTTAGAGCTGCAAGTCTAGAATGATTCCTAAACTGTGTACCTTGTACCAGTTCTGTTTATGGCGGTGCAGGTCTACCTAGAACTAATGCTGGAAAGTCATTAAAAGGGGATCCTTGAATCATAGATAGGAGCCAGTGATGCTGGAAAAAATTACAGGCTCCAAATATATCTTGATGGTGCTAAGTTTGTACTTGCCTGTTGTATTTGGCTATAATTAAAACTCAGGCACCCCATAATGTAAAAGCCTGCAATCAGGAAACTTAAAAAAAAAAAACCTAGAAAATTGATAGGGTCTTTCTGCGGTTCTGGTTCAAGATACTTTTTACCTCATTCATAATCACAAAATTAACTACACAAGTTCTATAGAAGTCTTTTTCACATTAGATGAGGTATTGAAAAGGTGAACAAATTTTGGAATGTGGCAGAAAATCTACAGTTTAATAATTTCAGAAATTTAGGAAATGTATTTTCAGCATCAAAGTTGAAAGATTTATTTAATGATTCATAATCATAACTGTTTATAGGGAGTGGATTGTGACAAGTGTGTTAGGAAGTTTGTACTGGAGCTCCAAACTGTCCTCTGATTTGCCCATTGGTGATGGAGAAGAATAGAGGAGAGTCCTTGAAGTGTGTGTGTGTGCATGCGCGCGCGTGTGTGTATACTTTCCTGGCCTTTTCCCAGGTAGATATATCAATCCACAGAAGTGAAAGGATATTTTCATTTGTATGCGAAAACATAAACAGTTGATGCTTGGCATCATCATGATCAATCAGAATAGACCTGGAAGGGGCCTTAGAGATCTTCTAATCCAACCCCCTGCTCAAACAATTTGAGACAAGCGGCTGTCCAGTCTCTTCTTAAAAACCTTGAGTGATGAAGCACCCTCAACTTCTGGAGGCAAGCTGTTCCACTGATTAATTGTCATCACTGTTAGGAAGTTTCTTCTTAATTCCAGGTTGCTTCTCTCATTGATGAGTTTCCAGCCATTGTTTCCTGTTTTGCCTTCTGGTGCTTTGGAAAATAAGTTGACTCCCTCTTCTTTATGGCAGTCCCTCAAATACTGGAATACTGCTATCATGTCACCCCTTGTCCTTCTTTTCTCTAGACTAGCCATACACAATTCCTGCAACCGTTTTAGTCTCCAGACCTTTAATCATCTTAGTTGTTCTTCTCTGCACTTTTTCCAAAGATGAAGATCATCATCATCCTACTTTTCAAAGATTATAAGAAATAAGACCAAAGCCATCATTTATTTCCAGTTGAACTGGAATCTTATGGCAATATTCAAATGCTGACAAAATGAAGTTTACAAAAATCCCAGCCAGCTTTTATAGACTGGGTTGAGGATGGGGGTGGGTGGGGAATTTAAACCACAGTACATTATAGAAAAAAACGTGCAGTTATAACATTATCCAGCTTTGAAAAAGAAGCTGAATAAATGGAGGTGCTAAAATAAGCTCCATGGGTTCCTTTGGCCAGCAAAGCTATAAAGTGACAAATTGCAGATCTTCTAACAAGTGTCCTAAATGTCTACTTAAACATGGCAGTTCGGCGCAGGCTGTTCTGTTGTCCTTTGGATGCATTGTTCAGTAGCTTTTCCAAGTTGGCTGAGTAAAGCTGCAAAAGATTTTTGAAAGCTGCTTTGTTGGCAGGCTAGGGGGATACATCCACAACCTTATTAAAGTGGAAGTGAATGCTCTCCTTATTTTTTTCCTCCCCCCCTTATTCTTTTGGGGGGTTTCCCCCTTGTTTTTCTTCTCTTTCTTTTTTTGCAACAGTAAATCTACTAATTTTACAGTCAGTTGAACAGCAATAGATTAATTTGTTTAAAGTCTGTATTCACAAAGCCAATGTGAAATTCACTGCCTTGAATGCCCTAAGCTACAGTGTGGTTTTTCTTCTTGGAAGAGTAGACACCATTGCAGATTGCCCAAGAATGATCTAGGCAGTTTGCTGTCACCTGCTTCTCAGCACCCAGGTGCTGACCTCTCTGTTTATTCTCTACCTTCTGACAGTCCAGCAACTCTGTGGAGCTTTTGTGTGCCACAGAGACTTTTTTCCAAGTGACAGGATCAATTTTCTTGAGCAATCACAGGAAGCTGAATAAAGAGAAGGTTAAGGGCCACTGTGAGGGTCAGAATGGGTTAAATTTAGTTAACATCAGAGGTTATAGCTTTTAACAAGAAGCCTGAGTTTGAAGATGCAATTTGTTTCTTCTTTGTCAATCATTTTTTTTATCTCTATTGATAGTGACAGCTTAACAAAGTTTTTATACTCTGGCTTTTTTTCTCCTCTCCTTTATCCCAGAGAAAAGCGCTGCAATAGTCCAAAAGAGATGCAGGTGGAAAACAACTTTATAAAGCTTCCATGATTTTCAAATTGAGGGCTGAAAGTAGGTTCCCTGCTTGGCCAAGTCAAAATTAATTTGTAGATGTTAAAAAGACAGACGTGTCATTGGCAGAAGCAGGAATTGCTGGTGGCAGTCTGTTTTTTTTAGCTACATTATTACAGCAAAGTCTTTGTAAGCAGAGGTTCTTTCCTAGACCCTTTTCATTTTCCCCCCTCTGCCTACCACCAGGAGTGATGTAAGTAAAATCTTCTCAAAAAGATTTCTGATAGGATCTTTTCTTTAAAACACACAGAATGATGCATTCTGTTTGGTGCTGGTCAGTATATAATTTAAGCACTGTGCTAATTACATTAGAACAACCCAAATACTTCTGTAGGTGTCTGAAAGTTTTATTTCTCAAAGTTAAAATATAAAATTCTGGATCAAGTAATCTTGAAAATACATTGCAGGATCAGTTACTATAAATTAGTTCTAAAAAAGTTAAGATAAAATGGTTTCATACACACACACACACACACACACACACATCTTGATTTTATTAGCATGTAATTTTATCCTGCCATTTCCCAAATTTGATTCATCATATTGTATAAAGTACAATATTTTTATATCTTCAAAGATGAAGATTGTAAGGCATGATCAAAATGTAAATTAGAAATATTTTAGAAGCAATAAAACCAATTTTGGAACAATTGACCATGTTATATGTATTTACTTCCTGACATTCAAAATTTCCAGCTTGTGTAAATATAATAGCCAATCAATAAATCAGGAAATTTCTGAAGCTTCCCCTCTGCCATACATTTAGATGGCAACCTTTGGCCCAAACAAGGTGATCTTCCTAATCAACACTAACTTAACATATAGGATTGTGGTATGAGATTTACAGCCTGTGAAATGAAGCATTGTACAACTGAATGACCTATGCAAATTAATATCATCATCAACAACAACAACTGCCACCGGATTAAATAGAGAAGGTAGCAGGTTGAGAGATGAAGGCCTTTGCCTTTTTCCAAGACATTTTAAACTGCTTTTGAAATTATACAATTATACAATAATCCTAACTAATACCCTGGAGGTAATGATGGTCGGGAATACTAGGAAGCAAAACTTTCCATGAAAGGTGAACATATCTAGAAAAACAGTTCTGAGGAACAAGAACCAAGAAAAGAAGATCAACTTAAGAGAACATTTAATATGAGCCCTGGTGGTGTAGTGGTGAGAATGCAGTATTGCAGGCTAACTCTACTCACAGCCTGGAGTTCGATCCTGACAGGCTGAAGGTTGACTCAGCCTTCCATCCTTCCAAGGTCAGTAAAATGAGGACCCAGATTGTTGGGGGCAATATGTTGACTCTGTAAAATTGCCTGAGAGCGCTATAAAGCACTATGGGGCAGTATATAAATTTAAGTGCTATTGCTAATATATATGTCAATGCTGCTAACATCGGATGTTCTTGCTTTGACAACAGATGGAAATGTAGCCATCTTTTCTCTTTCACTTTTAGAGTTAGATGACGCTGGGAGGCAGGATGTGGATGAGAGTCCAGTTAGTCATAACAATAACTCAGCCATGGGAATCAAGGTTATGGCGCCCAGTGCTGATAAGGATTTGGCAGGCTAGAGAGCTGGGGAGAAAGCCCTTACTTCAAAGTAATTGGGGAATGTGATTT